GACTTATATACTACCTGCAACAGAAAGACAACATTTGGGAATGTTTCAAGCAGATAGCTTTAAAACTGAGGGACTATTTTGCGTAGAAACGGACGGACGGACGGACAGACGGACATGGCTAGATCGACTCTCCTGGTGATGCTGATCAAGAATATATATACTTTATAGGGTCGGAAATGTCTCCTTCACTGCGTTGCAAACTTTTGACTGAAATTATAATACCCTCTGCAAGGGTATAAAAACACCAAACTTATGACATTTCCAATCGTTCAGTTATATGGCAGCTATAGGATATAGTCGGCCGATCCTTATGAAATTTGGTAGGTCGGATTGATTGGCCAAAAATAAAACCCATAGAAAATCCCAACTTCCTAACTTTACAAACACCAACGTTATGGCTTTTCCGATCGTTCAGTTATATGGCAGCTATATGATATAGTCGCCCGATCCGGCTCGTTCCGACTTATATACTACTTGCAACAGAAAGACAACTTTTGGGAAAGTTTCAAGCAGATAGCTTTAAAACTGAGGGACTAGTTTGCGTAGAAACGGACGGACGGACGGACAGACGGACGGACAGACGGACAGACGGACAGACGGACATGGCTAGATCGACTCTCCTGGTGATGCTGATCAAGAATATATATACTTTATAGGGTCGGAAATGTCTCCTTCACTGCGTTGCAAACTTTTGACTGAAATTATAATACCCTCTGCAAGGGTATAAAAAATTAAAACTATTATTCTGAGATTGCTAAAATTTACTATATCTTGGAGTGTATGGAAATATTTTAGGAAACGACAAAGTTATAGTTACGAACTGACGGAAGTGGCTAATTCGAATCGCCTAATATAACAATGAAGCTAGGTCGATTTTACTCTCAAGTTTTCGGTCATTTCTATGAAAGCTATATGATATTATTGTCCGATTTCAATAAAAACAAGAAAGGAAAGCTAACTTCGGACGGAGCCGAAGAATATTCTGTAAATTATATTCTTCAAAATTATTCATATGATATATTCTTAATACTCATAAAAAGTCCCAACTTCCTAACTTTAAAAACACCAACGTTATGGCTTTTCCGATCGTTCAGTTATATGGCAGCTATATGATATAGTCGCCCGATCCGGCTCGTTCCGACTTATATACTACCTGCAACAGAAAGACAACATTTGGGAATGTTTCAAGCAGATAGCTTTAAAACTGAGGGACTATTTTGCGTAGAAACGGACGGACGGACGGACAGACGGACATGGCTAGATCGACTCTCCTGGTGATGCTGATCAAGAATATATATACTTTATAGGGTCGGAAATGTCTCCTTCACTGCGTTGCAAACTTTTGACTGAAATTATAATACCCTCTGCAAGGGTATAAAAACACCAAACTTATGACATTTCCAATCGTTCAGTTATATGGCAGCTATAGGATATAGTCGGCCGATCCTTATGAAATTTGGTAGGTCGGATTGATTGGCCAAAAATAAAACCCATAGAAAATCCCAACTTCCTAACTTTACAAACACCAACGTTATGGCTTTTCCGATCGTTCAGTTATATGGCAGCTATATGATATAGTCGCCCGATCCGGCTCGTTCCGACTTATATACTACTTGCAACAGAAAGACAACTTTTGGGAAAGTTTCAAGCAGATAGCTTTAAAACTGAGGGACTAGTTTGCGTAGAAACGGACGGACGGACGGACAGACGGACGGACAGACGGACAGACGGACAGACGGACAGACGGACAGACGGACATGGCTAGATCGACTCTCCTGGTGATGCTGATCAAGAATATATATACTTTATAGGGTCGGAAATGTCTCCTTCACTGCGTTGCAAACTTTTGACTGAAATTATAATACCCTCTGCAAGGGTATAAAAACACCAAAGTTATGTCATTTCCAATCGTTCAGTTATATTGCAGCTATAGGATATAGTCGGCCGATCCTTATGAAATTTGGCAGGTCGGATTGATTGGCCAAAAATAAAACCCATAGATAATCCCAACTTCCTAACTTTAACAACAACAAAGTTATGGCATTTCCAATCGTTCAGTTATATGGCAGCTACAGGATATAGTCGGCCGATCCTTATGAAATTTGATAGGTCGGATTGATTGGCCAAAAATAAAATCCATAGAAAATCCCAACTTCCTAACTTTACAAACACCAAAGTTATGGCATTTCCGATCAATCAGTTATATGGCAGCTATTCTATTCTGTATATATGGCTATATTCTGTAAATTATATTCTCCAAAATTATTTATATGATGCATTCTTAATACTCATAAAAAATTCCAACTTCAACTTTAAAAACACCAAAGTTATGTCATATCCAATCGTTCAGTTATATTGCAGCTATAGGATATAGTCGGCCGATCCTTATATGGCAGCTACATGGCAGCTACAGGATATAGTCGGCCGATCCTTATGAAATTTGATAGGTCGGATTGATTGGCCAAAAATAAAATCCATAGAAAATCCCAACTTCCTAACTTTACAAACACCAAAGTTATGGCATTTCCGATCAATCAGTTATATGGCAGCTATTCTATTCTGTATATATGGCTATATTCTGTAAATTATATTCTCCAAAATTATTTATATGATGCATTCTTAATACTCATAAAAAATTCCAACTTCAACTTTAAAAACACCAAAGTTATGTCATTTCCAATCGTTCAGTTATATTGCAGCTATAGGATATAGTCGGCCGATCCTTATGAAATTTGGCAGGTCGGATTGATTGGCCAAAAATAAAACCCATAGATAATCCCAACTTCCTAACTTTAACAACAACAAAGTTATGGCATTTCCAATCGTTCAGTTATATGGCAGCTACAGGATATAGTCGGCCGATCCTTATGAAATTTGATAGGTCGGATTGATTGGCCAAAAATAAAATCCATAGAAAATCCCAACTTCCTAACTTTACAAACACCAAAGTTATGGCATTTCCGATCAATCAGTTATATGGCAGCTATAGGATATAGTCGGCCGATCCTTATGAAATTTGGTAGGTCGGATTGATTGGCCAAAAATAAAATCCATAGAAAATCCCAACTTCCTAACTTAACAAACACCAAAGTTATGGCATTTCCGATCAATCAGTTATATGGCAGCTATAGGATATAGTCGGCCGATCCTTATTAAATTTGGTAGGTCGGATTGATTGGCCAAATATAAAACCCATAGAAAATCCCAACTTTCTAACTTTACAAACACCAAAGTTATGGCATTTCCGATCAATCAGTTATATGGCAGCTATAGGATATAGTCGGCCGATCCTTATGAAATTTGGTAGGTCGGATTGATTGGCCAAATATAAAACCCATAGAAAATCCCAACTTCCTAACTTTACAAACACGAAAGTTATGGCATTTCCGATCAATCAGTTATATGGCAGCTATAGGATATAGTCGGCCGATCCCGGCCGTTCCGACTTATATACTGCGTGCAAAGGAAAGAAGGGTGTGTGCAAAGTTTCAATCCGATAGCTTTAAAACTGAGAGACTAGTTTGCGTAGAAACAGACAGACGGACAGACGGACAGACGGACAGACGGACAGACGGACAGACGGACAGACGGACAGACGGACATGGCTATATCAACTCAGGAGGTGATCCTGATCAAGAATATATATACTTTATAGGGTCGGAGATGTCTCCTTCACTGCGTTGCACACTTTTGACCAAAATTATAATACCCTCTGCAAGGGTATAACAAGAAAGAACGCCATAGTCGAGTGCCTCGACTATTAGATACCCATTACTCAGCTAAACAATTGCAACTGTGTACAATGTAAATACATACATATGTATATGCTTACATACATACACACATACGCCATTGTTTGACTCAGACCTCCAATTTGGGTAACTAGATTTGATTTGCATAGTTCTTGGGATATAGTTCGGTATTGACAAATGAAAACCATCGCAATTTCCTTTAATAGAAATCCTTATCGAGAATTAACGTTGATTCTGTTGGCCAGCTGTTCCAAAGTCATCCGTTAGATGGCGCCATGAAAGGCGGAAATGTAGGCGCTAGCCAGGCTTATGCGTTTAATGGGTTTTTGGGCGTTAGAGTGGGCGTGGCAAACTTTTATTAGGCCAATCGATATTTATTGACGAAACAAATACATATCAATTAAAATTTTCATAATATCATCAAAACTTTGGCCACAGCTTGTGGCTTGTGGCGTCAGAGGGGGCGTGGCACCATTTTGAAACAAACTGGCGCTGCGTAGGAACTCCTAAAATCTACATGCAAAATGCCAATCTTCTAGCTTTTATAGTTTCCGAGATCTCAGCGTTCATACGGACAGACAGACGGACAGACGGACATGGCTAGATCGACTCGGCTAGTGATCCTGAACAAGAATATATATACTTTATAGGGTCGGAAACGCTTCCTTCTACCTGTTACATACTTTTGCACGAATACAATATACCCTTTTACTCTACGAGTAACGGGTATAAATAACGTTAACCAGAACAACAGATGTTGATCTTCTGATGGGAGTCAAATTTGGATTGGACACACATTTTAGCCCATTTTGTTTTTCTATATTTAACTTTATCACTTATGATAAAATAAGTAGTACGTCATGGTTAGTATGGAAATAAAGTATGTATTTAGACGTATGTATAAACAGTTTTCATACATATGTACATATTTTGTATAATTTATTATTTTCCATGTTAAGTAAAAAATTTATTTTATTATTTATTTTTATCAAATTTGTGAGTATATGAAAGGCATGAAAATGGTTTTCTTTTACTTAGAAAATCTATTAGTACATTTTCCACACCGATTAGGTTCTTAAAAAGTACTTTTCTGTTTGTTTCTTAATTGTTTATTTAATGTTGAGATGGTTTCTGGAACACTGAGATCCAACTTTCGGTTGGAATTTGTTTAATTTCTTTTAAACTGTGCACTGTTACGAAATAATTCCACACCAGGATTTGTATATTTGCATAACACTTATTAAAAAATTGTAAAAGTATTTTGATTTTATTTTATTAATTTCAATTCGTAGTCATTTCCTATCGCTTAATTCCTATTAATTTTTGGCTTGGCTTAACCGCGGCGTCCTCCGCCACTCGAAGCAGAGGCAGAAGAAGAGGCGGAAGCTGATCCACCACCACCAAATCCGCCGCCATTACTAGACGAAGCCGAGGAGGAAGCTGAGGCACTGGACGAACCGCCACCGCCGCCGAATCCACCGCCTGGACGACCTCCAAATCCACCACCGCCATATGCAGGGCCTCTGTTAAATCCGCCTGGGCCACCACCGAATCCGCCAAAGCCGGGGCCGCCTTGGCCGCGAAATCCACCTGGACCGCCGCCAAATCCGGGGCCACCAAATCCGGGGCCACCACCGAATCCGGGGCCACCACCGCCAAATCCAGGTCCACCGCCATATACGCCTGGACGACCGCCGCCAAATCCTTGGGCATTGGCATTGGCATTAGCATTGGCGTTGGCGTTTCCTCCGCCAAATTGAGGCAGGGCCGATGCCACGGCCACCAGAACGGAAAGCGCGATGAAAAGTTTCATGTTGAGTTGTTGCCGCCTCGAGAGTTGTCCACACACTTGGCCACTGGACCGATGAGCCCGGCTTTTATTCAGTTCCGCGTCGGAAAAGAGATTCATAGATCTCTCGGTGATCCACCCCGAAACGTACGCTTCGCAGCAGACCGACAGAGGAAAAAACAGTACGAATTATCAATATTTATAGCTCGGCTCGTTAGCAGGTTCGTGGCGTGCGATCGTTAGACCCTACGCCTAATAGACCCGGCCTTTTCGATCCCGCGCTGCAACCGGTTAGGTCCAAACTGGAGAGCACCTCGGACGTGCCCCCTTCTCTAGCCGTCCACTATAAAGACAGCATAACGATCGATTTGAGACCCCTGATGTCATAAGTCGAGTAGTTTGGGAGATGTGGACTGTGGGGATTTACATTATAGATACATGTTACCAAAGCGTTGGCTTAGTGAGCTGCAGGTAGAATTTGTTATGAAAAAGTAACCAAAATATTTAAGACAGCCATAATCTGCATGACAATTCATTTTTTTCTAGTCTAGCACGTATACATTTTATATATGTTTTTTTTCACTATTTCTACTAGTTCTATTTAAATACCATGTTGAATTTTTAAATATAAATAAGTGCCAAGAAAAAAAACTTTTACACCCGTGGAACTGGTTCACTTTTAGCATCTCTATACGGCTTATAAATAAATTTGTTCATTAAATCAAAAGCAGATGACTGATTTTAGTCGCAATAATTTATGCGAAATTTTTTTTTCAGCTTTAAAGCATTTTTTTGCCACCCAAAGATGTTTATTTGTTTGTCTTTTTCAGCTTCCATAAAAGTTTTAAAACTGGTATTCTGCCAAATTCGAAATATTAATTATTCTAATTAACAGCAGAGGCATGATAAAGGAAAAACATAGTCCCGAAAAATTTTAAATTCAAATGAATTTTATTTTTATTAATTGTGTTTACTCATTTCGGAAAGCAGTGGTCCTAAAAGTGGCACGATATGAGGGAAGCCCCATAAATGTGTGCCAAGTTATCTTACTAGTGCACATAAATATGTGGAGCTGTAGGGTACTAAAAAGTCTCACACTTCCCAAAGCCCGCATCACCTTAGCCAAATCTATCCAAACTTTGATGAATGTATGCGCAACAATTTTAATTATTTCTGCCGACTTATATGCATAAATTAACGGCAATTTTATTCAGTTTAGCCCCCGTCGCATGCGGATGTCAACAGTATTTAAGAGTATTATTGTCGTAGCTTCTGTTTGAGATATATTTCTAAATGACTCAGATAATGTTTTTAGGGTAGCAAGTTTTGGGGTGACTGATTCCTTGCAAATTCAGACAAATACTACATACATTATTTAGTGCTTAATTAATTCTTACATTAAATTAAGAACAAAATAAAAGTTGCACTAGAGTGTGAAATTTTCTTTTAACCTAACAACAAATTATAAACGCTCCTTACGTCGAATCTGTTCAATAGAAATTTCTGTGGGGATGGAAATAACGTTTTGTAAATACTATCATATTATTGGTTCTGGACCAGATGATTTCGTGATAGTAAAGCCGTGATAGTAAATACTGTTATCAAAGAAAAATTTGTTTTAACTTGAAAGTATTTGTTTATGCTATTCAATCAATCTTTTATAAATATTTTCAAATCTGAGTAGAACCAATTCTTAAATAATAAAAGGGATTTGGCTAAAAAGTTCTTAACAAAAAAAAAATCAATTTATATAAAATATGTTATGTTTTAGTCACGCATTCCACCTTTCATGCGCTTTTTATGCAGAACAATAAAATGCCTTGTATTTGGATTTTTAATTTTTTTATTTCAGACTTTCTTCAAACAATTATCTTAACTTAACCTGGGCTCTAGACTATCTCCTCTCATCTCGCTTAGCCTGAGGAAGAGGCCGACGAAGATGCGGAGGAGGAGGCAGCTCCACCCGATGAAGAGGCACTCGATGAGGCTGAGGATGAGGCCGAGGATGAGGGAACTACAACGCCACGGCCACCACCGCCATGACGTCTGCCACCACCTCCAAATCCACCGTAGCCGGGATAACTTCCATATCCAGAGGGATAAGCGCCAAATCCACCACCATATGGATCTACTCCATATCCGCCACCGCCAAATCCGGGCCCTCCAAATCCGGGTCTTCCAAATCCGCCTCCTCCGAATTCGGGTCCTCCAAATCCGCCACCTCCGAATCCGGGTCCTCCAAATCCGGGTCCCCCGAATCCAGGTCCTCCAAATCCGGGTCCTCCAAATCCGGGTCCTCCAAATCCGGGTCTTCCATATCGGGGTCCTCCAAATCCGGGCCTTCCAAATTGCGGCAGAGCCGAGACGGCGGCCACCACAAGAGCAAGAACAATCAGGGTCTTCATTTTATGAATTTGTCCTTTCAGGCTAATGAGTTTGCTGTGTGCGATTGCTGGACTGACTGAATTGGAACTGACGGACTCTCAGCAGAGTCGCTAAAGTATTTATACCGCCTGCATTGTTCACAAAAGCCGTCACATACTGGCGAGTCAAAAAGGAGGCGAGATGGCTGTGATAAATGGTTTTAGCCGATCACTTACCGGTTTTCTTTTTATTTTATTCCATCTGCTCTCAGATCTAATTACACTAGACAACAAAAATATATCATGTGGGAGTTGATTGGTATTTAACGATACAATTACGATAATAAATTGTTATTTCAGTGTTGTTTTTTATAGTCAAAAATGTAAGTTTAGTATTAATTGCTTCACAATTTAAGAACGCATTTAGTTCGAATGTGTTTCTAATTGCTCTAGTATTTGGACATAAACTGCAGAAAATATTCTCATTTAACAGTTTTTTGCATGGTCTTCAAAAAGTTTAGTTTTATTTTTACTGCTTCATAATTTAAAAAAGCATTTAAGTATTTGGATTTAATCTGTAGTTATAAAATCACAATTTTTGTATGATTCCCACCCGGTTATTCGCTTACCAGCCTTTTAAGAAATTCAAAAGAAAAGTAAAAACAAAGACTACTTCTGGTAATTCATTAAGTGATTTAAATTGTTACTTTATAACACTAATAAGAAAAAATAAAAAAAATTATTTAATTAGGACATTGCACTTTGGTTAACAATGGTATTAAATACTTGTAGCATAGTGTTAGCGGTCGAAGGGATGGCTTAGTTTGCCGGGTGGTTCCCCATGCTCGCTCCAAAATATATGAAAACGCATAATTATCGACCCACGCCCAACAGGTGACCCATGTGCTAGTGTTTGATTTTGATTACTCGGCTCTTCCTGGTCTGCGTAGTTCCCCACCAAAATCAAGAGTACTCGTCACCGGTTGATTTCGTCTAATGCCGATCATCTGACAAGTTAATCTTGAAGAGTTTATTCCCCTCTATCTTGTTTTGTTTGTCCGAAAGCGGTTTCGATGGCGATGTTTTCAAAACAGTGCTCGAGTGGAGTGGGCCAGTTGGAGGTGGTGAGATCACTGGCAGATTGCCGGTGGCTATTGGGCATTTCTTTGAGTTTTGCGGCCATTCTCCGCAAGAGATGGCTCACTCCGCCCCAGAAAGTCTTCAGTTCCGATCGCGCTACACATATTTCTTTAGATTTTAATTAATAAAGTTGCAAATGATTAATAAACTAATGATTACGGCTCGGCAAATAATAGCAAATATCATTCTCTGAAATGTAAACTAGACCAGAAAGCTAAAAAGTGCCAACAATTAGGTCTGCAACTTGTTGAAAACAATACCTACAATCAGCTGTGTTTTAAAACCATGTGAAGTGTAACAAATATTGTGCTTTAAACAAAAAACTTTATATCAAATTGTCTTATTATATTTTTTAATGGATTGCTTTATTTTCAGTGATACTAAAAATGTTAAGAAATGTCAAGTGAAAGTAAAAATTCCAGTCCACACAAATATAAATAAGTGGAAGCAAATAAAAATCTCATTATAGAAAATAAAGTCTGAGCATTTTGAAATAATTCAGATACTTCTGGGTCTAGTTTTTACTCGACCTTGTTTACGATAAGTAGAAGTGATCAGTTTCACTAAAGCAAACAGATCACACTCAATAATACTTACAAATGCAGTGAGTAAACAGTAGTCTTAGAGTGAAATCTATCATTCATGACTACTTTGAGTTTACTATCTCTTAGCAAAATGATATGTTTACAGCGATCATTAGGGTGAAAAAATCACACATTTTAATGAGACAGCACACGATAGTAATCGCGAAATCCCCATAACTCTTAGAGATCTGAGTCTTAACAGTCCATAACAATAAAATCTCCCAAGCGCAGCGAACAAGATTTCAGCGACTGTTAATTAATAAAACAACAAACACAAATATCATATCTATATAGAATACGGGTTAGATACGGGTTGGCAAAACCGGTTTCAGTGTCGTCACAGCAAACTTGGAGAACCCTCCGTTCTAGAGGAGATCACCGACATGTGTGACGATTAGCGACTCATATCCGAAGGGGTTTTCCAGGTCAGAAGTTGTCAAATTGAATTAGCAATGTTGTTAGAATTCGGTGATTTTTCGTGGCCGAATCAGCCAGTGGTAAATCCTTATATAGCAAAGTTTACTTGTACTTTGAACTACTAATAAAAGCGGCAGCATTTTGCAGGCGATTTGAATATTGTTTTCGTTTTTGGCTTATGCAAAAAATCCGTAACATAATCGCTTAATGGAACCGGTCAGGCTCGGGATCGTTTATTTGTTTATACTTTTATTTTTTGCCTCATTTGTGGAGAGGCTTTTTTGTATTTATATAAGCCTGGCATACGCATTATGTTGTTTCTCCCGGATAGGCTTCTTTGTGTTGCATGATTAACGGCCTTGAAATGGCGCAGTTTTAAAATGTTTAAATTTGCCGAGCAATAGTTTGCAACTATTTACATAATTAGCTGTCTAAGCGGGCAATTGAAATGAGAAACTTTCGAATTGATATGCGGTTCGATGAATAAATAACCAGAACACTTTAATAATAAACTGCGAGAGCAAATATTTGTTTATTAAAATCAATCAAAGTGAAATAATTTGAGCCTGGCCAAAATGAATATTATCACATTAGCCAGGGGGCAGAGACGTAGGGCGGAGCCATCTCCCATGACAACCTGAAATATTATTAAAATGCCAACTAATGAACGTCATGTTAATTTTGTAAACGCACAAGCGCACGCAATCAGTGCTCTGTAATATTTTCGCATTTTAGCCGGCGTTTATTGTTATTGGCGTTTTCCATAGTTTTTCCGCTGCACTCCGCAAATTGAATTACCCGCACCCAGGCAGTGCAAACTTTTCAATTATGTGGCCAGCGGGCTAATGAACAAAGCGATCTGACCAGAAAACCATTTGGCGACCCGCCCGATATGGATATGCACGACCACCACATAGAGTTCGATGTGCAATCTGAATTATTTAATTTTAATTAAATGCTGGCTGGCAACGAGCAAAGCCAACATTTATTGCCTACTTTTGGGGGCGGAAATGGTGAGAGATGGTTTTGCGGAAACGAAGTGAAATGCCGCACACTTTGAGGCGCTACCTGAGATGAGTCGGAGAGCAAAAATATGCATTGGCACATTGATAAACATTTCGCATTTATTTTATTGCCCAACATAAATTGCAGCAAACAAAGGGTTAGGGCCCGACCATATTGTCAATCCTACAAAGGCCAACAACTGTTGCAGAGACGACTGCTGTGTGGCACACCGCCAACAGTCTGTTGGCCCAACTTCCGCCTTTCCTCTTTTATGTTGCAAAACTGCACCACAGGGGTTCATCGTCCTTGTGCAAATTGGTCTCGCAGTTTATTGCCGAGTCCAGACTGCGGACTCCGCACCCGGACTCCAGAGCAGATGCCGCTCCTCCGGCAATAAAAGTGCACTTTTAAGCAAAAGCAGCAGAAGCTGAGTCAAACGCAAACGCAAACGCAAAGGAGCTTGCTTAAGATTTCAATTTGTTGCCATTGTGTGCAACAATTTGCAATAGTAAAACTTTACTTAATGATAAATGTTTGTGGGGGACACATAAAATTCAAGAAGAGCGCAGTCTGTCTTGGCCATTTAAGAGATTTATGTGGCCATGAGTGGCATCAATGTCTTTGGTTGGGGCTAATACAAGTCTGAGCCATCGTCCCCGGTCCCTTCTAATAGGCCATTAATTTTGGAGAAAACTTTGCATGCCAGATTTTCCAACCGCCAAAAGGGGGAAATCTTTTCCTTCGCGGTTCACACCTCAACTCTATGGATTCCATCAAGAACTTTCTAACCAACTTTCACACTTTTCATGTGGTTTACTTTTTAATGGGAAATACCTAAAGCTTCAGATTTACACGATCCTAAATGCTTCTAATTAATAAAAGAGACTATAATTATTTTTTAGTAATTTGTGAAAAATAACTTTGGTAATCGCATTATTTTACCAAAGCCTCGAGGTTTTCTTAGTCTAACAATATTAAATGCTTAATCATCCAAAGTTGTATAAGGTTCAGAATAATATTTATTATCAAAGAAAAATGTTTCTTTCTTTGCTAACCAAAATGAAAATGCATTCTTTTATATATTACAAAAAGTAATCATTTTATTGAAATCGTGGGTAATACTTTCAAGAGATTGGGGGAATTACAGGAATATAAGGCTCTGGGGAACTAGGTCTAGCCGTGGTATCCACCGCCACCACCCGCCGAAGAGCTGGCCGAAGCGGAGGCGCTCGAGTGGGCACCACCTCCATAGCCGCCGCCACCTCCAGGCGCTCCTCCGTAGCCGCCGCCACCTCCGCCGCCGCCACCGCCGTATCCGCCGCCACCTCCAGATCCGCCCTTGTATCCTCCACCGCCTCCATGTCCTCCGTGCTTGTGGCCACCTAGGATGCCACCAAACTGTCCGCCACCGGCTCCGCCTCCAATGCCAGGGCCAAAGCCTCCCCCGCCGATGCCAGGTCCTGGGCCGATCCCGGGACCTCCTCCACCTCCGCCAGAGTGTCCTCCTCCTCGGGAGTGACCGCCGCCTCCTGAGTGACCACCACCTCCTCCGATTCCTCCGCCTGGTCCGAAGCCAGGGCCTCCACCGTGACCACCTCCAATAGCACCGGCCGAAGATGACGCAGAGCTGCCGCCGCCGCCGTATCCTCCACCTGATCCGAATCCAGGACCGCCGCCGATTACGCCGCCTCCGCCGGAGTGACCACCTCCTCCGCCAATTGCTCCACCTGATCCGAATCCAGGACCTCCACCTATTCCGCCACCTCCTCCGGAATGACCGCCGCCAATTGCTCCACCTGATCCGAATCCAGGACCTCCACCGATTCCGCCGCCTCCTCCGGAGTGACCGCCTCCTCCGCCAATTGCTCCACCTGATCCATATCCAGGACCTCCGCCGCCTCCTCCGGAATGGCCACCTCCGAAGGGACCACCTCCTCCAGAATGTCCTCCTGCTCCACCGCCGGAAATGACACCACCTCCGGAATGACCGCCACCCCCGAAGGGACCTCCACCACCACCTCCACCTCCGAATCCGCCATCTAGCCCACCTCCGAAGTCTCCTCCGGATCCATGTCCTCCTCCGGGTTTACCGCCTCCGCCACCGCCAATCGCGCCGGCCGAAGCGGATGCCGAGGCGGAGGACCCGGCGTGTCCTCCGCCGCCACCTCCGCCACCACCTCCGTAACCTCCGGCGGATGCCACAGCCACACAAACACTCAGCACTACAAACAGACGCATCGGAACCTTTGCCTGCAGCTCACTAACTGTGCTCCCTAGAAAGATGTGGGCTTTTATATGAGACTCTCCGCCGCACAAAAAACACAAATAATAGCGAAATACTTGCTAAATAATTTCGCAGAGCGCGAAAAAAAGAACGTCAGTCACGTTCCGAGTGCTCAGATCCTAGGGTCATGCCAGGCAAAAACTAAAACTTGCACTAGACTACAAACATTATTAATATATCAATAATTTTAAAATATGCTACCTTAGAAAAAATTAAATATTTATATATTTATATTTTCTTAATTCTTTAAATTCTTTAACTAAGTTATTTGACCACTTTATTCATTATACATTTATGGCTCACTTGTGTTGCATAGTGTAATTAGCTCCCGCGGAGAACAATAACGAGTTTCAATACCATTTAATATTCTCGATTGTCTTCTGTTGGAAATTACAGTATACTCTAGGAAGAACCTAATGTCTTGAAAGGCGTGTTCAGCCCGCGGGAGATTCATGATAGCGATCAGAAGGAATGATCGATGAATTACCTTAATGATTCTAATGCCGATTTCTGTTGTTTAATCTAAAATAAACTAAAAAATATATTTCAAATAAAAAAGAAATATCTGTTGAACAATAATTAACAAGAGGGAGAGAGTATATACGGCTCGTCGCAATCCACTATTTAATCGCTTGATCTTATGTAAATTATTTTAATCATCACTTGCTTCGGAAATAGCTGCATTGACTCTTGGCTCTCCCAAGATTAGATTGATTTTCATTTAAATGATATTTGTAGGCGTTCGATGGTTACGACAATGACCCTTAAGGTCTACGTCACTCTGGTTCGATAGAGTAAAACACAATCGTAACAGACAGTGATGAATTATATAAAACTACTAAACACCCTCAAGGAGCATAGTAAAGATTATTTTCTTGAGAACTTGATTAGAAAACTTTGTTCAAGTACGTTGTAATAGTATTTTAAAGCAGTAGTAAATTCAAACATTCTTTGAATGCATTTAAAATGAAGAATTAAATTAAGCTTAACAAAATTATCACATGGGTCAAGCATTTCCGTTCCCCGTAACAGTTGTACCGCAGACTACATGTTTGGTTTAACTTCGTTTTATTTTTGATGAGATTTTTGATAAAACCTCTTATGTGGATTATAGCTAACATTTAATTTTACATTAACTGGCCTTTATTGAACTGGCTTGATAATTTCTAAATGTTGCAAAATTAAATTTACAATACTATGGAATACTTTATAAAAAGAAAGCGTAAATATATCTTAAATTAGCCAAGGAATAGTCCTGCACCGCGGTTGATCGATCCACCAATGTGTCCGCCGCCAAATCCAAGTCCGGTACTTCCTGAGTTTCCGCCGAGGTTGCCTCCCAGGCTAAGACCATTTCCACCAAGACTGACACTTCCCCTATGATAGCCTCCAGAGTTGGTGCCACCAAGGGACAGGGAGCTAGAGCCTCCGTTCGATCCCAGGGCTGCTGTGTTGCCTCCAAGAGAAAGGCTTCCCGAGCCAGCAGCAGGTGATAGCAGTCCACTGGCGACTCCATGGGCCAGAGATGCAGCCTCGTGCGCGCCAGTTAGTCCAACTGATCCGGCGGTGTTGGACTTGTGTCCATTCGCACCAAGGGACAATCCGCCCGATCCAAGGGAAACTGAACTGGCACCGTTGCTTATGGAGCTTGAGCCGGTATTTCCAGAGGACCCGATGCTCAAATGTCCGGCACTGATCTTGGATGATCCTGCTCCAGAACCGGTAGATCCGGAAATTCCGGACGTTCCGATGCTCAGATGCCCGGATGAACCAGTGGCAGAGGATCCCTTCGAGCTGGAGTCAGTTGCGCCAGTGGCCCCAATGTTCAGGTGTCCAACTCCAAGAGATGCTGAGCCAGAAGAAATCTTGGATGAACTGGACCCAGTGGATCCAGAAGTGCCAATACTCAAGTGTCCAGCTCCGTGAGAGGCAGATTGGGATGATCCAGAGGAATGAATATTCAGATGTCCAGCTGAACCGGCTTTCAAAGATCCAGACTCGACTTTCTTTTGTTCCGTCTTGATATGGGCAGATCCGGCGTGAGTTCCAGAGGCTCCGATGGAAGCGGATCCAGAGCTGATATGGGAATGACCAGCACTGATCTTTGATGACTCGGTTTTCGACGAATAGGTAGTTTCCGAACTTTTAATGTTCAAATTTCCGACACCATGGGAACCAGACTCGGACGAACCAATGCTAATATGTCCGGCAGATCCTGATCCCTGAGATGCAGAGCCGGCACCTGTAGCTCCCGAGGATCCAATATTCAGCTGTCCAGATGAGACCTTTGAGGACTCAGCTTTATGATATGTGGAGGTAGTTTTCATTGCGGTAGTGGCTCCAATACTAATGTGGTCAGTGGCGGCGTTTGATGCACCCTCCACCTTACTTCCAGAAGATTCAATTTTCGCATTTCCAGCAGTGATCTTGGCAGAACCGGCTTGTCCAGATGTCGATCCAGTATGCTGTGAATGAGAACCAGTCGTTGATCCAATACTTGCGTGGCCGGAAGTTATTTTGGCAGAGTTGGCACTGGAACCGGAAGATCCTATGCTCAAATGACCACTACCACTCGAAGCTGACCCAGAATTGGAACCCGTAATTCCGGTCGATCCGATGCTCAAGTGTCCAGCGTTGGAACCGGATGCTCCAGAGGTATCGAGGCTTAGGTGACCAGAATGGGTAGACGAACTGCCCACAACACCGCTGGCAGCAGTTGATCCAGCAGAGTGTACAACATTGGCTCCAGTTCCTGCCGCTCCCAGAACTCCGTTGACCACTTGGGCTCCATGGGAGGCAGCAGTCGATGCTGCAGAGTGAACAACCTTAGCTCCAGTTTCGCCAGCTCCCACGACTCCGCTAACAGCCTGTGCTCCGTGATTCGCAGCAGTGGATCCTGCGGAATGTACAACATTAGCTCCAGTTTCTGCAGCTCCAAGTACTCCGTTGACCACTTGGGCTCCATGGGAGGCAGCTGCCGATCCTGCAGCTCCAGTTCCAGTGGCACCCAGTACTGCGTTGGCAGCTCCAATAGTCGCTGAACCTGAGGTGGAATGATGGGTACTGGTACCCGTAATTCCGGAGGATCCAATGGTCAAGTGTCCAGCGTTGGAGGCACTGTTGCCAGAAGATCCAATGCTCAAATGACCAGAGTGGAGAGCAGCAGAGTCCTTATTTCCAGTGGCTCCGATGCTCAAATGACCGGCTCCCAGGAAAGCTGAGCCGGATCCCGTACTTCCAGAGGCCACATGATCTGCAACTGTCGATCCTGCAGAGTGCACAATGTTGGCTCCAGTTCCTGCCACTCCCAAGATTCCGTTGGCAGCTTGAGCTCCGTGAGATGCTGCACTGGATCCTGCAGAATGTACTACATTGGCTCCAGTTTCCGCAGCTCCCAGGACTCCGTTAACAGCTTGAGCTCCATGAGAAGCAGCTGTCGATCCTGCGGAGTGCACTACATTAGCTCCAGTTCCTGCCGCTCCCAGGATTCCGTTGGCAGCCTGTGCTCCGTGATTTGCAGCAGAGGATCCAGCAGAGTGTATCACATTGGCTCCAGTTCCTGCAGCTCCCAGCAATCCATTGGCAGCCTGATGCAGGATCGAAGATCCTGAGGATCCAGTGTTATGTGATGCGCTGGCAGATAGACCTCCAATCCCGATTGATCCACGGTTAGATCCTCCATTGTATCCTCCACCCAGACTCAAGCCAGGAAGACTTCCCTGGGCGGTGGACCCACCGCTATTGCCTCCCAGTCCAAGGCCACCGCCACCGAATCCCAGTCCAAATCCGGCGGATGCCAGGGACACGCAGCAGGCGCTCAGAAGTAAAATCAATCCCTTGGGAACCATTGTCTCAAAGTCACTAACTGCTTTCCGAGAAAACGGCTAGCTTTTATAGAACCGAAAATACGCCTAGTCGTAAGACTACGTAGCAACTACAGTTGGGCTTCGCTACATCGAATGCGCTTACCTATATTCTGGAAATTCTTAATTAACAAGAAGGCTATGCTAGAATAATTTAAAAAACTAAAATTTTGTGAGCAATTCGTTAGTTATAAGAAAACTTAGTCGATTTTGATGATTGCTGTGGCCCATTTACAGAGGGAAAACTGTGAACACACAAATTTGGTGACGATTTATTCATTAATTTATTCAAAAGAAGAAGGGAAAACAAGTTCCATAGCATTTATCATCATTTTTTTGTTTGCGCTCTGGGAGTTGCTTATTCGAGAAGGGGATTCACCATAGTCTAAAAATATAGCACGTGCTGAAGACTGATAACCAAATTAAGGTCAATCAATTCTCAAAGAAAAAGTCTCCAGAAAGTTAATATCTACATTATTTAAAATGTTAATTTAAGTCCATAACATTTATAGTTTACATTTAGTAATTTATTTAGAATACACCAAAAGCTTAATGGTAGTAATAGTTCCAACAAACTATTCAAAATAATTAAGCATTTATAAGAAGGATAGTGTATTCTATCCTCGCATTATGTTATTTTTATACCCGTTACTCGTAGAGTAAAAGGGTATATTGTATTCGTGCAAAAGTATGTAACAGCTAGAAGGAAGCGTTTCCGACCCTATAAAGTATATATATTCTTGATCAGGATCACTAGCCGAGTCGATCTAGCCATGTCCGTCTGTCCGTCTGTCCGTCTGTCCGTCTGTCTGTCCGTCTGTCTGTCTGTCTGTCCGTATGAACGCTGAGATCTCGGAAACTATAAAAGCTAGAAGATTGACATTTTGCATGTAGATTTTAGGAGTTCCTACGCAGCGCAAGTTTGTTTCAAAAAGGTGCCACGCCCCCTTTAACGCCCACAATCGCTTATATACGATTTTAAAAATTTAAATATTTCGGAAAAGTAAAAATGCAGTTTTATTGTGTTTATCAATACCTATCGAAATGTAGAAGAAATTTTTCAAATCGGACCATTCGTTAAAAAGTTATGCGTGATCAAAGTTTCTATCTCCATCTCTCTCGCACTCCCTTTACCTGAGTAACGGGTATCTGATAGTCGGGGCACCCGACTATAGCGTTCTCTCTTGTTAATTTTCGTGTCTACGTATTTCTGGCAATTAATTTGGCTAATCAAAGCATGATAAAATTAGCATCGTTTTACAGCTGCTATGACGACTATAGCCCTACGTCATACTCGTGTAACAATAATAAATAAATACCCACCTATTCCTCATTGGTGTTTACCAGTCAAACTAGATTTTAATATTCTGCCTTGAATGATTTATATGCCAGGTGTTTGGGATAAGTTATATTGGGTTTATGATTGTTAAATTTAGAAAAGCAAACATATTCATTTTTTCACTCTCTAACCTTCCAAGTTGAATCGACCATCGTGGCACTCTGTTGTCGCCAAACTTAGACACAGTTTTTCACTTAACTTGGCTGCTGGTGTTGCAGGAAAAGCGCAGTTTGCGAGAGCTGAGCTCGACAGAAATGCAAATGTCGAGACAATGTGGGCCGAAAGCCCAAGTAAGTCGAGCCGGGGGCAGGAAAAGCACCAGCTTCTTAGCCCCGGTGTCAGCTGTTGGCCCACTGGCATACGCTGGGGAAAATGGAAAATTGTACTCGCAGGAAATCTGCTTACAAATGCATGTATCTTGGCCCGCCAGCTGGCTGATGTTGATGCAAAATCTGTTACGGCTTTTGTGGGGCGAAAAAAACACTTGACTTCCGTTTCCGCTCAAGTTCCCCATGCATACTTGAAAATGCGAAATGTTATGCAAATACGGGAATCTGCTCCATTTTTAAAGGAAAGTACAACGAAGAGCAAATAAATTAATAAATATTGAATATAAAACAACTACCTACTTCGACAAATGGTGTTAATGGGCGCTCTACTTATTATTATTTAATCTTCTAGTTTTTAAAGGGCTTCTTGTATGCCAAAAGTTTCAAAACTGCCATTTAATAAGGGTCAAACAAATAATACTTACTATTTTATTTGTCAAATAAATACTTAATTGTTATAAATATTTTGGATATCTGTTTTATAACTAAATTCATATCGATCTTCCTCGGAGTGACCTTCTGGATCGATTAGCCTCTTCATGTGTGTCCTCGGGCAGTTTTCCCAGCACCTGCAGCATCCGTCGGTAGAGCATTTTCCGCACATCGATGGCCCAGAGGAAATCCATGTGGTTGAACTCCTTCTGAGGCACCAGGTACTTCCCCGTCACGTTGCCCAAGTCATCGCACATGGACTCCACGTCGTTGGGATGACACAGCAGATCGTTCGTGGAGTAATACACGAAAGTGGGCACTGTCACCTGGCTCAGGTTGTAACGTGGTGGCAGGTGGTCTCTGTACAATTGCATGTTCTTATTCGAACTGTAGCTATACGGCGCAAACCGACCGCTCTTGATGATCTGGATGAAGTGCTTCACCTGCTTGGCAGCCACTCCAGCCGGATAGTGACCCAGGATCACGGGAAACATTTTCTGCAATTACACTCAAAAGTTAATCCGAACTCCCACGAAATTTAAGTACTAAGTTACCCTGTTGAACTCGTTCCAGTTGCGCCCCACGATCCCAAAGACAGCCTCAATGCACAAGCGTTCCGTTTCCTCGGTCATTCGACATAAGAAGCGGAACTCGCCGTTGAACATCTCCCTGATTGAGCCGCCTACAAGGCTCTGCAAGTATATGAAAAGAGTTAGATTAGTCTAAAATTAGTTATCGGAAAAGTTTCATTTTCTTACCACCGGGCCATAAATTATAGTACAGAATACGAGAATTAAGTATAATAATGTCGAAGACTAATGAGCATATTTTAATGTATTTGCTAAAAAAAATAAAATGTAGTATTTACCTTTAGTTGTGATACTGAACCTCCACAAACTTTGACAATTGGGAAATGATTCTAACCATTTTCTATCCGAAAACAAAATATTGGTTTCAAGAATTTTCTTAAAAAATCAATAACGGTATTAAAACAACTGTAGAGATTTTAGATAAAATTGTTCCAAGAGACTTAGCAACTTACTCTGAACACATAATAATAAACCTAACCATTTCTATCAATGCAATATATTTTTCAAAGGATTTTTAAAAAATTTATTTAATCCAAACAATAGTCAGATATCTTTGGGAGTAAAACATCTTTTGAAATTCAATTTCACAAATCTGCTGTGTAAAAATAAAAAGGAAAGCATCATATTGCCCATACAAAATGGACTTTTACTTTAGTACATCTATTGAATTAATATAAATCAGACCACATCTTCATTCTTAAATAATATCGTGGGTTAAAATGGCCTGTTTCTTTTAGCCAATTAAAAGCTATAATGTGACAACTTTGGTCCATGCATAGGTGGGAGAAATGCTCCATGCTCTTTCATAAAATAATTGTTCTTGTACCGGAATTTCAAGCGCTGACAAAAATCATTAATTCATAAGATCCCAATAATGAAATACCAAAAGTGTCACTCTGTTTCTGCCCCAAAAGACAACAGTCCGTCCCTGCCAAAATGAAGCCATCTGCCCTGCGCTACTCACATTGAAGTACAAGCTGATGGCCCGGATGTAGGGATGGTCCTCCGTCTCCTTGGCGTAGACGGCGGGGGCCAGGGCCTGCATGGAGACGACCTTGGCGTTGTAGGCCGGCCGCATGGAGCACATCACGAAGAAGGAGGTGCAGCCTTGGGAGTGGCCGGCGTAGTGGAGCTTCGGGAATCCGGTGGCCTTCAGCACATGATCAATCATCGCCGGCAGGTCGTACATGCCGATCTCGTGCCAGCTGAAGTCCCAGAACTTGGACTCGTCCGGATCGAGGGTGGTGTGGTTCCTCGAGTAGCGATTACCCCGCGCGTTCCCCAGCCAAACGTCGTAGTTGTGGTCGGCCAGCAAGTAGGCTGTAAAGTGGACCTCGCTCGTAATCACTTGGCCATTAATCACGGACGGGGCGGAGGACACTTACCCAGGCTCACGTTGGGACCCATTACCACAAATCCCGCCGAGCTGTCCACGAGTCCGTGCTGGAGGAGGAATGGCGGGGCGCCCTGCTTCCGGATGCGGTGCATGGTGAGGATGTATCCGTCCTCGGTGGTCACATGATGCACCTCCGCCTCGTAGCCGTACTTGGCGATTAATTTGTCCTGTCGACGAAATGTGTGAAAAGCGTTGACAATCACTGCACGGAGAAGATAATCGCCTTATTGGCAAATAAATTCGTAACTTTTCCATTAAAAAAGGTAATGGCTTGAGAAGTCTTGCATAATCATAGACCAACCCGAAAGGATTACCATTTAAATAAAGCGTGGTCAAAAGGCCATGTACAATAAAATCGAATGTAAAATCGTTGAGATATTGAGATATTTTCTGTTTCAACCAATAACACAACAAATATGATTTTTTTAGTGAAAAAATAAATTGTTTGGTACTTTTAATACTTTAACAAGAGAAACAGAAAGTAAATATATAGTCAAACTTCCTCACTTGAACATCTATTAATCGAATTTTCTATAAAAACATTATACTTCAGAAAGTAGATTATTTTTGAAAAAAAATGTTTGCGCCTAAAATATATAAAGTAGAAATTAAAATTAAGAGACCACTGTCTTTGATAAAATTAAGCATAGATCAAAGTCTTTTAATAGAGATGTTAAAAAAACCATATATAAATGTTTTATATCTCGAGGTCTCTGTAGGTTGAATTTGTACGTTGGCGGTTCGAATATTCTTAAAATCCGAATAGGGCTAATAACAAAAAGATACTTTTATGTTGTCTTAAGATAGCAACACGGACTTAAATATTTTAAATTTGCCAATGTCCGTTTAATGATGTTCCTACCACGCTGAGGGTTGAGTCCTGCTTGATGTTTTTGCGCTGCAGTCGATCCTCCAGCGTTTCGTCCTCGACGCTCTCCTCCTCCTCTTCCTCCTCCTCCTCGTCCTCTTCGTCCTCCTCGCCGCCAATCAGCTGGCCCTGTATCCTGCAGATGAACACACACAGGCCCAGCAGCAGGATCAACCGCATCCTCAGGTTGGGCCGCATCTTGATTTGGCTACAAATTTCGGCGAAAGTGAAACTCACGGAAGCGACTCTCTCTCTGGAATTCAATATCAACCTCAACCTCAACGCAACGCGACGCGAACGCAACTGAAGACCAATTCGAAAACTGTCAACGGAATGAAACCGTCGGTTACAAAAACCACCAAAAAACGACGAACTTCTGCAGAGGCACTGCAGCAACTACAACAAAAAAATAATAATAAAAAGTGCCGAAATACGAAAAAACTTTCGATCAGACAACAACATTGCGCACTGTGACGTGCTAGCTGCTTTTGTTTACATTTTGATTGTGTCTTACGTTTTCGGCCAGTTAATTAAATATGGATACGAAAGAGGGTCTCGGGGGGGCACGTTTTTATTTCCGAAACAGAAACAAAAGCCTATCAAATGCAGCAAGTCAGAAATGTAATCAGCTGTCAAATTAAACCATGTTCAATGGAGTTACAAATTATCTTATCTCACAAAAAGGGCTCATTCATATAACTGCTGCAAATTTGTTTATGATTTCACATGAAACAAAGGAAAAAATATATAAAGCACGAAATGGTTTGTAATTAATAAACCAATTCAAATGAATAATTTAAAAATGTTTCTCTCGCTTGGCTGACACAAAAGTTTTATTTACGATATGAATGTTATGAATGATATTATATATTTCCCCGAACAAAGAAAGAAATAATTTAAATTATGAAAGTTTTTAAAGTAGCCTGTTTAAATTATTGGTGAATACCCTTAAATATATATAAAAGTAATAGGGTGAAACCAAAGTTATAAAAATCACAATATTTATTAAGTATACACCACCCAACTTTAAAATGCCAGTCAAAACACTTCCAATAAGGTAATTATCATTATTTGTCTTCGTTCGTTTTACCATCAAAATGGCTTAATAACCCAAACCTTTTTGGCCAAAAGCAGCACAAAAGACACTAAAAAACAGATACTTTTTTTGTTGGCCATCAAAAGAAAGTAAAAGTGTCGACCAGTTGTGGCGGCTGGCTTTTTGAATTATACATCTATATGTATATTTTTTATGGTCTGGCTACCGCATTACATAATTGGCATTTTGGACGAATGCCAAGGCAAATAAAGCATTTCGCTGGGCAATTATTATTTGTCATTTCTATTATAATGGGTTTCAATGAACGCCTTTGACGACACCTTTTTTTTTGGCGGTCATTCAATTACGTATGGCAATCGGCCCTCGAGAAACTGTTCCATTTGCTCGATTAATTTGTCGTTGACCAGGCTTTTAACGTCGCCGGAGATAAGGAAGTCCAAGTGGTTGAACTTGGGGGAGTTAATTCTCCTCACACTCCTCACCGACTTCAACATTCTGGCATAGATGCCATGCACTCCCTCTGGAGTGGCAATAGCATCGGTTTCCCCGAAATACAATACGATTGGCACAGTGATCTGGCTGATATTGTAGGTAAGTGCTTCCACTCCGTGATATATCTGCATGTTCTCCACTGGACCAAAGTCATACGAAATAAAGTCCCCCGATTTCCATATCTGTTGCAGATGTTTTATCTCTCTGTCCGAACCGCCTTGCAAAAGATTTTCATAGTTGAAGGCTTCCAGAAGCTGAGGAAAAGGGTATTAAAAAAAATATTCCTAGAATATCTTTTTATGAACTTATAACCTTTTTGTTGCTTTGGGCGCTGCCCACCAATTGCTTGGTGTAATATTCGCAAAGGTCGCGTTTACTTTGGCATGTTATTCGGAAATATCCAGGTGGAAAGATCTCAAACTTGTTTCCCTTTTGGCGTTTCTGAAAGAAATATAATAATAATATTATTGTTCGCGCATTATGACAAATGATTTTAGATGTACACAAACCACCTTTAGGTGTTACGTCTTATTAAATTTGTATCCTTCAACATTTTTTAGAACCAATTTTAAGATTATTTAAAAATAACACAGGTTTTTAAACATCAAACCACAATTTAATACGAAAAAAAATGTGTAAGCGCTTTAATAAATATTTAAAAAACAATCTCAGCTTTTGAATATTCATAGCAGTGCATTACTTTTTATAGAATTTTTCCCCTAGAATAGAATCCACTCAGCTGATTTGCTTTACTTTCCCTCAGACTTAAAATCCACTAAAACACATTTAAAGTCGCCCCGGGGGGTTATCACCAAGCATATTCAGCTCTTTTGATAATCTTACTGTTCCCCACCTCTCAATAGTTTCCAATCTCTGTGGAGAGGTCACGCGGTTTCACGGCCTTATCAGCTACACAGAGAGAAATATAAATGATTTTATGCCAACATAAGTACAGCTTTTTATGAACAAAACATTTCAAAAGTCCTAGCTAACTAGGTGTCAAGAAAAAATTAAACTTTTTCCATTGGTAAAAAATAGGATAAAATGTTTAAGACCAAAGTTTTTTACTTTGAAACCGAATACTATTTTAAATAAAAATTGGTTGTTAAAAAACATGAAGGGAATTAAAGTTAAATATACTACATTATTCAAAATGTTCTTAAATATCGTAAACCTGTGGGTAATGGAAAAAGGGAAAAAAATTATGAAAATATTCAAATGTCTCGTGAATATTTAAAAAGTTCAGTGTTGTATTTCTGTCTTTTTTGCACTATAACAACATGTGTTGATCTGAAAAAAAAAATACTTGCATTAAGGCATTTATTATATTTGATAACTGAGAAAGTAAAAGTGTGATAATAATGATTAAAAATCACACAATTATTAATCGTCATTTTTTTCAGTGTAACATCTAGAGCCGATCTTGGCAGTGGTCTCTTTTCAGGCTTCAGTCACCGCGCGATGTTCAGACTAAGCAATCGACTGCCCTCCGCCCTCGGCGGTCTACGCCACGCCTCCTCCGCCGCCGGCGAGGGTCAGCGAACCGCCCTCTACGATTTCCACGGGCAAAAAGGCGGGAAAATCGTGAATTTCGGAGGTTACGCCCTGCCGGTTCAGTACTCCGACCAGAGCATCATCGCCTCGCACCTCCACACCCGCCAGGTGGGCTCCATCTTCGACGTGTCGCACATGCTGCAGACCCGGGTGTTCGGCAAGGATGGGGCCGCCTGTCTGGAGTCCGTCTGCACTGCGGACATTCTGGGCACTCAGGACGGCAGTGGCACCCTCACCGTGTTCACCAATGAGGCGGGTGGCATCCTGGACGATCTCATCGTGAACAAAGTCAGCGAAAAGGAACTCTACGTGGTCTCCAATGCGGCGATGAAGGAGCAGGATATGGGAATAATGAGCGCAGCAGTGGTGAGTCTGGGTTTCTTTAGAGGCAGTGGTTTCATTATTGAGCTATATGGGTATTTCCAGAATAACTTCAAGTCACAAGGCAAGGACGTGGCCATCGAGTTCCTCACCCCCACCGATCAGTCCTTGGTGGCGGTTCAGGGTCCCCAGGTGGCAGATGAACTAGCCAAACTCCTGCCAAAGGAAGCTTCTCTGGAGCAACTCTTCTTCATGAGATCTTTCGTCACCACCCTGGCTGGAATTCCCGATGTCAGGATCACGAGATGTGGCTACACTGGCGAGGATGGTGTGGAGATATCCGTGGAATCCAGCCAGGCCCAAAAGCTCACCGAATCTCTTCTTCAGAGTGGAACCCTTAGGCTCGCCGGCCTGGGAGCCAGGGATTCCCTGCGATTGGAGGCGGGTCTTTGCCTGTACGTCAGTGACATTGATTCCAAGACCACGCCCGTGGAGGCGGCTCTTGCCTGGTTGGTGTCCAAAAGACGCCGCACCACCCGAGATTTTCCAGGAGCTGAAGTGATCCTTGGGCAGCTAAAAGAGGGAGTTAGCCGGAGGCGAGTGGGTTTGCAGATGTTGGGAGCCAAGCCGCCACCAGCCCGATCCGGAGTGGCCATCTTTAGCCAGGGTGAGCAAGTGGGTCAGGTGACCAGTGGTTGCCCGAGTCCCAGCGCTGGTCGCAATATTGCTATGGGTTATGTAGCGGAGAATCTCAAGGCTCCTGGCACAAAGGTGGAGTTAAAGGTTCGCGACAAGTTCTACGAGGCCGAGATCACAAAAATGCCTTTTGTAAAAGCCAACTACTATAACAAGCCAAAGAAATAAATTTGCCCAAAAATTCCTGAAGCATTTCTTTTATAATATTATACCCCAAAAGTGTGTCATGCTGCCAATTTATATAAGTTTAAATTACAACTAATAGCCTATGGTTATATCCAGTGGTCGGAAGTCAGATCAGATACTTTTACTCTGCTTTTTTTCTTTACTGGGTAGTAATTCGCTTCGGATACTAAGATAATTGATTTTTTTAGAATTTATTTATAGAATTTACTCGACTTTACATCGTTCACACTGTAATATGAAAAATAATTATATGTGATTTTCGCATTAAAGGTGCATAGAGTGCTGGATTTTGCTCAACCCAATTGACTTTTATCGTTTTTTTTGTTCTTAAATAAAATGTTAACTTTTGAGTTTTACCTTTAACTAGATAGTATGAAAATGTTGTATCTTTACCTAGCCAATGTCAATTACCTTCTGAAAATATCTATTATCTTACCCATGATTCAGAGTACGAATACTTTCCCCAACACTAGTTATATCTAATTTAAAAGAAGGGCTGCTTTGTTTCCCAGTGCAGTTTTTGAGTAATTACCTTGACAAACTTCATGAGATGGCGCACCTGAAAGGCGTCGAAGCGCACCTGGCGATGCAGTCGAGCCAGGGGCGCCAGGGCCTGCATCAGTTGAATTCGCTGGTTAAAGCGGGGATGCACCGTGCAGAGCACCAGAAACGCATTAAAGGCCTAAGAACCGTGCTTAGTGGGAGTTCGAAACGAGAACCACACCGCTCACCTGCGAGTGTCCAATTAGCAGCACCTGGTCCGGTATTTGCTCCCCACTTGCCCCTTGACCTCCTCCTCCTCCTCCTCCTTCTCCTCCTCCTTCGCCGCCGGTGACCTCCGCCATGTGGTCAATTATGGCCGGCAAATCGTAGGCGCCGTGCTCGTGGAAGCTGAAGCGCCAGAACTCAGCCATCACATCGGTCAAGTCGATGTGTCCGCGTCCATAGGGCGACACTCCGCGCAGGTTCGCCAGCCACACGTCGTACTCGCGATGGTACAGCTGAAAGGCTGCACTCAAAGAAAAATATATTGGATTCACAACGCAGACTCAGAGTTTCGATAGCTAAGTAATAACAGGTACTTAAATAATCTATTATTTTCAGAGCGAGCTTGACATTAACTAACCCTAAATTCAAAGGTAAAAAACATATTTTTATTGAACTATTTATCACAATTTTAAATCAAAAAAACAATTCAAAAATTTAGCACCCCTAACAGAAATTTTCCCTAATCCAATAAATATTGTAAAGTAATATTAAACTGTGTAATATTAAAGTGGTAGTGATACCATTCGTGTTTTGTTTAAGTTTAAACTCTTTTTTTATATTTTTTATAACTAAACATATTTAAAAACTTAGAATGAAATTAGTTATTAATTTTCTTTAAGACTAACAATGTTCTTTTAAAATTGAAGTGCATGCCCGAAGGTGCCAATTCACTTACCCAAACTCCGCTCGGGCCCCAGGCAGACCCATCCCAAAGAGGAACCCAGCAGTCCGTGGACCAGGAGCACGGGCTTAGCTCCCAGTCGTGGCAGCCGCTGCACCTGCAGCTGATAGCCATCCGCCGTGGTCACATTGTGCAATTCGTGGCTGACATTCTGGGCCTCCAGCCAGTCCAACTACAGAGAGGAAAAAATCAAGTATGTTAGATCTTAATTCCCAAAACAATGTTGCACTTTTAAAATAATTTTAATATTATTTTTTTTATAATTTGATGAATTTGTGTTCTTTAAATATCCATTTCCAACAATGTGTGTTTAAAACAACCTCTATAGATTAAAAATAAATAATGAATATATTTTACTACTCCTTTAACATAATTTAATTAAAAAAACCACACAGTTTCTGTAACATTTTTAAATGGTATATTTTCTAATTTGTTCTTTTAGGGTATGATAATCTGTCCTACCCATATAAGTACCTACTTTATTATGCAAATATAAGCATCTCACTTGTGAACTAAATTTAAGTGTACTGACGTGAAGGAAGTGGAGCCGCTATTAGCCTGACACTTACCGTCGTCCATTTATATCGTGACTCCGCTTGAGATGAGGTGGTATTTTTGCAAATTGCACACACGATGAGCATTACTTTGATGGCGACGATCCAGCCTAACCCACTCATTTCGCCCCTTAAACTAACCCGGGAGTCGTGGTCACTGCCCATTTCCCCAGATTAACTTTCCGCTCGAATAAATGCTTCAAAATCGAATAATTTGTTAGAGGTGAGTAAAAAGTAATCAGTGACTACTTAGCCTTTGTATATAATAATCTTTGATATCAAACAATCAATTTAAATCGTAAATGAAAGAGTATTCCTGGACTGAAGAACAAGCCTACCTTTAAATTAATGAAACCAAAACAGATAATTTAGAATCTTTTTCAAAAAAAATGAATAAAATGGTAAAGCGTAAGTTTATATAAATATTCTATATGTCGACGTCTATAAGTAAATGCTTAAAAACAATGAAGCTATTTCGATTTTCAGCTATATTATTTTCATAAAATCAAAATTTCCGGAGTATACCCGCATAAGTTAAGAAACAACAAAACTGTAATATTTTCCATTAAAGCCCTGCAACTTTAACTTGTTTTATTTATTCTCATTCTTTACATTCTGCGAAATGCCAGGCAATACAATTCGCAATTAAATAAAGCTTAACGGAAAGCTTAAATAAAATAGATTGAATTATGCCAGGGCACCCGCATTCATATCCACATCCAGACACATCCGCATCCGAAGTGCACTCCGTATGGAAACGCTCACAATTAATTGCAGTTCCCTGGCCTTATCACTCAGTAATATTCATACTCGCAAAAGGGAGAAAAGTCTGGGAAAAAAGAAAATGCCGAAAACCGAGGTACCCGGCAATCCAGTTGCAATTGCAACTCAGGACCAGACTGCTCCCACGCTGTCCACGTTTATTTACTTATCGCTGGGAGATAACAATTGACTACCCGAACAACAAAAAATCCCGGCGAACTTTATTAAAATTACGCTCATAAAGTGGAAGGGTGCAAAAAAAATGGGCTGAATAAAGGGCAAAGACACTGAAGAGAGCCAGAAGCAAACGCCAAATTAAATGGGATACAAAAACGTGAATGGAAAAAATAACCACAAGGCCGCAGGAGGTGGAGGTCGTCGATAAGGTGTGGGCCAGCGAATGCGACTGGCATCAAAGGACATGCACTGGCCATTGGTCCTGGAACCTGAATTCTCGATCCTGGATTCTGGATTCTGTATCCTGGGTCCCAGGAATAAAGGCAGCGGCATCTGTGTGCAGTCAACGGGATGCAAAAGTGCAGTCGATTAACGGAAGCCCAAAAGGGTGCGAGGTCCTCTGACCACCCTTCTTCCGCCCCCTTTCCGTCTGTGGGGGCGTGTCATGTCGGCACTGGCATATGTATGAATTTTTATTAAATTTAATAAAGCTGCAATTATGCAATTTACTCTGGCTGCATTTGTCACGCCCACACGGCAGTCAAAGTGAACCCAGGCAGTTGGAAATTAATTTGGCTGCGGTTACAACGGCCAGCGATGGAATTCGGAGTAAAAAAAATTGTTACATTTTTTCTGCGAATTTATGAAACAGCGTCCAGACTCACAGTAGACGGGGAGATAGTATCATATTTAAATCGATAAAGTCCTTCCTTGCCGGAGCCACAGATTTATGAGAACTGTCTAAGAGAGTAAATTAAATTCTTAAAAAGTTCGTTTCACAATAATAATCCACTTGCTTGACGTTTCAAAATCTTCCCAAGCCAGACCCTTCTGTTTTTAAGGCATATTAATGTTTTAGTTAGATTCAAAAAAACAAAAAAATTGTTTCCAAAGAATGATAGTATCTTAAATTTTCATAAATTTTTATTAATAGGTCCTCTTACAAAATTCGGAACATAAATTTAAAAAAAAATGTGAAATACCTAAATTAATAAGCTTATTTCTTCAAATACTTGTAAGAGATTGTGCTGCAATAATAATTGATTATTATGAAGGTTTATATTTACCATGTAGTTAAATGCATCCTTAGGCTTAAGTTGGTAGTTCACTTTATATCAACCTACACTGTCCTAACCAATTCCATCCATTTTCTCAGTTTAAAGTTTACCACAAGGATTAGAAAATGGTCCTAAATGTGGCAGTTACTCTAAAAATTGAACAAAAGAAATTAATACTTCATATTTATTCTGATTAATTTGCAGAAATATCAGGACACCACTTCAACTTATTCCACATAAACACACAGTTTAAAAATTTGCATGCATGTGGAATACATTGATTCGCATTTCCACCCATAAAACTGTGCACAAATTACACGTATTTATCTGCTCTAATGACATTTTTTACGCCTCGTAAAACATGAGCCATAAACAGGGCGAATGGAGCGAACTCAGCACGCATCAATTGACATTTTTGGCACTCGGCACAAAGGTGAATCGAAGCTTCAACAATGGGGCCAAAACCAAAACGACAACGATTCCGATGCTAAGCGTTTGATAGAAAAATCATTACGGCGAGTAAATAACATCGAGGTAAACAAGTTTGCGGCAAAACAAAAAAAAAAAGAAAGGGAAACGGAACGTGGAAAATGAAAATAGTAATGAAAATGGTGGCAAACAAAAGTCAATCACTTGCCGTTGTTGTCGAAGGAAATTGTCGAAAATATTATGGAAAGGAATCGAGCCAAAGGACACTTTGTATTATTAAATGGCAGATAGACAAATCAAAATGCGCCGAGGGTGACAATGGTGACGGCTGAGTTTTCCCCGAGTTTTCGCTCCCGTTTCCGCTGAACTTTTCCGGCAGGTGGAAATTCTCGCACAGACACAACCGCACCCGAAATCAATGTAATTGACGAACTGACTGGCTGGGTAAGTGAGTGAATGAATCGTGTCGTTTATTGTGGCAACAGCTTTTCAGCGAAGCTCGCCTCCGATTTCCCTTTTCCGCAGAATTTTCCCTTGTTTGTCTTTCAACTCAATTGCAAAACGACTTTCGGCGGGGTCGCCTTCCTTTTCCTCCTGTGGGACTCGCTTCTTTATTTTTATTATTTCCTATGCCTGAATGTGAATTGCTTTTGAAATGTTTGCGTGCCATTTGTGTTGACAGTAAAAGCCGCTTAATGATTTCATTTTGGTTATAAATAGGATTTTTGGCTGAATATGTATAAAGGAAGAGGCTTGGTGCTCACTTGGGGTAGGTTATGTGAAAAAGAGTAAGTATGTAGTTTAGATAAATTGTTAGATAAATAAGCAAGTCTTATTTGTACTTTGAAATATGCAACATTTTAAAAACGGTCTATGTTCTAAGTTGATCCGGTAATTTTATTTATTTAATATTGGTTTTAAAACCTAGAGGTACATATAAACATACTTTCTCTTAATATTTAAGATATGAGATCTATCCCAAAACTATATATTTTTTTTGTTTAAGTTTAACCTCAGTTTTAGGGACAACCTGTATATGGGTTATCACAAATTTAAATACCGCTTCTTGAAATTATTTCTTCTGTAAACATTACTGTATACCCAAAAAAAAGTAAAATCTTGTAATAGACTAATGGTCTATAGTTATCAAGTTTTTCGCTTAAGAGTCGAAATCATAAAATTCTTTACGCCTAAGTGTAATAAGCTTTTTAAACCATTGAATAAAAATAATGGGCAGAGTTCAGCGTCTATCACCTATTAAGTGCTCAGCTTTTTTCCCACCAAGTATCCGTCGAATTATATACGCTTCTTAAATAAACAAAACGTGAGTTTTCGAGCGAAATTAAAGCAAGTTTTAAAAGCAAATTTCCACCTTGCCTTGTCCGAACTGAAGAAGATTCCATTGGCCTGGCGTAGCAACAAGGGCAAAGTTTTCACATTTTTGTTTAACATTTTCCCAATGCCTTTTTATTTTTTTTTTTACACTTTTATGCATAATGGAATTAGTTAAATTTCTCTTTGCAGCGAAACTTTCGCTGAACTTGCGCCAAAAAGTTCGCTTCCTGTTTTCCCCCTTTTCCGGAATGTTATGCGTTTCTGATGACGTTGTAGAAAACGTTTCCGTTTTGCGAGTTTGCAATGAAAACTTTTTAACTTAGAACAACATTGGCTCGGCACTCGCTCGTATTTTAATTAAAATATTTATGAATTTGTCTTCCAAGAGCGACGAAATTGACAAGAAAAGCAGCTGAGCAACGTGCGCCAAGTATCTTGATTTTGAGCTGCACACAATAGAGCGTCCAAGAAAAATGAGTCAACTGGCGGAGATGCCAAACGGCAATTGTAACTCAAAGTCACTCATGTGGATGACTTTCTAATTAAGACAGCCAAACTGAAAGCCTCACTCAAGTCGGAATAATAACAATCAAGTCGAGATATAACAATTTTTAATTATTCGCAGTTTAACATTCTGTGTGCTGATGGTAAGATATACATACGTGCGTTGCTAAGTGAACAAAACACGATTTCATTGCAGCAGAGTGTTTAATCGTTGAATTAAAGTGACTACGTCACTGGAGATATCAAAAACTCAGTAACAATAATGCAAATCACATCTAAGGAAAACCCCCTATTAGCCATTAAAGTCAACACAATTGGGAGTTCATATTTCACACAAAATCAGCGATACCAGTAATTATTTATTTGCATATTTATCACCAACCGTCTAAAAAAATATTTATTATCGTTGATTGCTTGCTGTTCTCCGCCGATCCGGGTTGTCTAACCAGAATTTGTAAAGTTATTCAATAAATTGATCTTCAATTTGTTAAAAGCAATTAGCCAATGTTTATTGTTTTCGATTTGAAAAAATTAACGTGTTTATTCCGAGTAAACAGCAAACGGTGAATTGGGGAGAAGTTCAGTTGTACTTTGTTGAAGCTACTTTGAAGTATAAATATTTAACTTGAAAAGCCAATAATCAGAAATAGGTAAAAACAAAATGAAAGAAAATGAAATTAGCAAAAATTAAAGGTAAAATGTAAGTTTTTAATAAAACTGAGCCAACGCTTGAAAGTTTTGTTTTACAACTAGTTCAACAACTGTTGAACCTTAAAGGACCGCGATTTGCAGACCCGACATATTCCACAATAATTTGCATTTCTTTATGGCCCTCACAAGTATTTTTCAACCAACCTC